AAAAAAAGGTGTTACCTTAGTGTAGCAGAGAGTAATTTCCTGATATCCGATCCATTCTGGCATATCAATGAATGATATCTCATCTGCATGGGTCACCAATTGACCATTTAATACGGTGTGATTAATTACCACATTATAGCCTCTGGACTTGTATTTTAGTGCTTTATGTTAAGTGCATCAGATTACTTGGCTGTTGAGCCCACATAATGATGGTCAATTATTTCTCTGACTAAATTGGCCATAAGGTAGGACTTTGGCTTTAGACATTTACTATCGATTACAGTATAACATTAACCATGTAGACACATTTGTTTTGTAATACAGAATGTTATTTATGGATCCAAGTTAGCTTAACAGTGCTTCACAAACCTTTTCTATATCTAGCTGTAGGCTTTTCAAAGTGCTGTCAGTAAGATGCATTTCTGAAAGATAAAAAAATATAAATACCTTCGGTGGAGATGATAACTGTTGCCTACTATTTTTAAAGTAATGAAGTGATTGCTGTATCTGTATGATGCATTTTGCCCCATGATGGCAATTTTGCTGCATAAAATACTCCCTGAAAGAAATTGAAAGGCAAGAAGATGAGTTAGAGAAGACGCAGACAACCCCCGCAATACAATTATTTGAAAATTGATCATATTCACATTCATAGGTACAGCCTGCTACTTGTACCAAATTATTGTTGCTTTGTTGATGTGAATAATTTATCATGACAAACATTGTGTTAGTGTAAGACTGCAGTCTTTGATTTCTTCGACATTATAGGTCATTCTTTCTTCTCACTATTCCCAAGAAAGTCTGGAATGATTCACTGCAGGGTTGTGGTAATCGGCTAGGATAGCAGTGAATCAAGTGATACGTACATATTCTGAGCTCGTTCTCATATATGATTTGCTTTTTCCAGCTGGGATGTCTGAAGACAGCGATTATACCAGTGACATCAGCTATCCAATGCAGCATCAGCACAATACCTCCGCGCACCAGTTTAGGAGCGAGTACCCGTACCGCTACGACTCCTTCCAGCGAGACGATAGCCAGGAATACAATGGAAGGTACGACTCCTTCGACAATGGCTGCAACGGGTATGATCGCGAAGCTGATTATTACCAGGATAGTCCGTACCATCAGCCTCGCAGTGATACGGAGTCAGAACCTCTGTACTACAACAGCCGACCACCTCATAACGTGTACCCAGATCCCTATGATAGGGAGCCTATGTATGATGCTTATGATGGGTAAGTGCAGAGAACACTTTGTACAGTAAGGACACAAAAATGCAAAATGTTAAATAAAGTTAAGCTATGCAGGCTTACAGGGATGAGTATTGTATTTTTTTTTCAGTGACTTTTTTTTTACATGATAGATAACAAATAGACACAAAAATGCAAATTGTTGAATAAAGTTAATGCAGGCTTTCAAGGATGAGTATTGTATTTTTTTTCAATAACTTTTTTTACATGATAGATAACAAATGATGTGCATCCTGTGCTGTTGTATTGTCAATTGGTATTATTCAGTGAGGTTTGTATGGATGTATGTACTGGATGTGAACAAAATGGTGGGAAAAAATGATCATGCTTTTGCTCTAAAAAGGTGCTTTGGCACTGACTTACAATTTGTTATATGTATACGTAATAGCTCCCTTTTGTTACAAATTTTGGGATAATGACTCTGGTAATGAATGAGAATGCTAGTATACACCTGGGGTTTCACAAAGTGTCAGTTGGTACAGTTGAATGTATAGATATGCTAAAAGTATACCTGTCTAGACCATCTATTACTTAGTGTGTCTGTGATACAGTAATATTATTGAGAGTCTGGAGAGTTCTGTGGACTTGAATGAAGTGGAAAGGAAATTAAATGTTCATTATCTCAATTTCGATATTTCAGTGTCATTTGATATGTGGAAAATTGAAAAATTTTACTGAATAATATTTTCAAAAGGTTTAAAAAGAGGGACTCTGGCAGCATTTTGGGCAGAGGTTGAAGTGGTCAATATGCATGTCTAAAGGGGTTAGAGAAAGCCTGTAGTAGAGATTAAGATGAAAACATGTACAGTTTTGTCTATTATGTGAATGATTGAAATGTTAATCGAATATTTTCATCAGTATGAGTTAAATGTTGTGTGCTACTGGTCAAGGAATAATCCCCACCCTCCTCCGCCTCCACTTAAAGACCTTCCCAGAATGCTGCTTTTCTGAAAACTTATTAATTATGGTTATTCATGCTTTTGATTGCTTCCAAAATAAATGGAACTAATGATATCTGATAATGAAATTAACATTAATGAGTCCTTGGACAGACATTAAAACTGGCAGGTTCTCTTTTGATGACTGCACAATACAACTTGGTGGGCAGCACATCTGACATCTCCTGAAAACTATCAACAAGTCAAATTTGCTGATGATTTAATAAGAAGCCCTAAGAACTTATGGGTTGTTGAAGGCTAAAACATGATGGAACTTGGCATTTTGCCAAATTGAAATCAAGAAAACGTATTCAGCCATAATTTCATGGTACACATTTTAAAACTGCAAGCGATATCGCGAACCTCAGGTGTGAGTGATACACACAATGTAAGTATTTTGATCATAAAAATATTTCAGTTTAGATAAAGAATGTATGGATTGCTTATTTATACATAAGTATTGGCAGGAAATTATCTGAATGTGCCTCATATTTTCTCTTGCAGGTATGAGGGCAGATATTATGATGAAGAAGAATACTTGGAAAGAGGAGATAGTTTTGCTGATAACAGGTTTGATACTGAAATTGTTTTGTCTAGTCAGTGGCATTGTTACTATTTCTCCTTTTTCATTTATATTACATACTACGTACATATGTGCAACAGTATGTGCAGTAGTTTGTTCAAAAGGGTAATCTTTGACATTTCTGTGGAATTTTCTGTGAACAGCAAAATACTTCCCTAACTTTGCATTTGCATTTGTTAAATATAAATAGAACCTCATTTAGTTGACTGGGTTTCAAAATAATGTTGCTGTGTTAATGTGTGAATGTTGGCTACTGGTCCCAGAGGTAGTCTGGTGTACAGAATATCCAAGTGGTCCCAGGACACTCACTAGATTTCCCTGTGGACTAATTGGTCTCAGATCATATCCCATGGCACAAAATTATGTCTTTGGAGACACAGATTCTTTACAAAAAAAATCTTTAAAATGACTCTTTATTATGATAACCGAAATGCAGAAAAGTTAAGCGTAAGGAATATCTATGTAACTTTTGAAATATGCAAAGAATGGTTTAATTGCAAACGATTTTTTCAGACAGAAACACTGACAATGAAGAGCAGTAGGTAAAATAAAGGCCATGTTTAGGTGCAAATTCAAATTAAAGATACATCACAAAAACATTACAAAATTGGCTTGTGAAGTTGTTATATAAGATCAAATGCAATAAGTGCAGATCCCCTTCGTTTTTGAGTTAGCCACCTGTACTGCGCAATTTTATTGGCACCCAAGTTAATCAATGTTTCCATACAAGATAAGGTGTCATAACTCAATACAGTTTTAGCATGCAGTCTGATTACTAGGAGTTTTTCATGGATTGATCCATGTAGACCAGTGTATGGGAATGGGGCCGTAATAACCCACAGCTAACTGTCTGTAGTGAGACCTTTTGGAACATTGAGAAAGGTCACACATACATATGTCAACCCAGCCAGACTGGAAACACGGCTTTTGAGTAAATGACTAAGCTAGACAGGCATTTTCATTAGAGAGTGATATACCTCAACAAAGCACTTGTTACATTAGGTAAATTATCCACCACTTGTTCTTAATTGTGGCCATGGAAAGGGTTTAGTGAGCTAGACAATTTCCTCCTTATCTGGCATGTTAAGTCTGAGGTGCCATGTTTGATAATTATAGACTCATAAGGTACTAATATGCAGATAAACCTGTATGTGTAGTAATTTGGTGACAAAAGCAACTTGGACAAACTAGAGGATGTAATTTTGCTCTGGCAATTAACAAGTGACTAAAGCAAAAGGATGTTTTCGTTAGCTCCATATTTAGGAAATGATGACAACACTTGGTGATAAAACCACTATCATTACTTGTTTGAAATTTTGAAAAAAAAAAAGCTCATTTTACCTACTGTATTTTAATGTAGTAAAATTTAAGCAAACTTCTATAAATGAGATTACATTTTTCACTTTTTTTCTAAATCCATTGTGATAATGTAATGATATATAGTTAGCTGAACTTCTGTGTACCTATGAGTAAACATCCCACAAAACTTGGAGAAATTTGACTGCTGTCAATGGACTCTAATAAAATGGATCTGCTACTTGTGCTAGCCAGGGGAAGATTTAATTTGGACATCCTTACTGTTGATGGTGATATATTTGCAAATGAATTAATCAATGTAATATTATTTTGAGGTGACATTCTGTCTCTTGGGATCAACATGACGTCTAATGCAAAGATTCATTATGAAAAAATGCCAAGAAATGTTTCCAAACTTCTTTTCATTATGATTGAGTTTTACTAAGAAAAATGCTTGTAATTTCCTTGATTGATAGATCAATACTCGTTGCGTTGTGTGATGGAAGATAACACGTAACAGTGGCAAGCCTTGGACTTCATTGTACCATGTATTCAGTCCCCCATGTTTAATTATACTGAGAGCATTACATAAATACCAATTTGTTATGAAATGTTAATGTCTCAATTGTTCAATAGTTTGCCTCTGTTCCCAGCACTGAACTAACAAAAAGGAAGCATTGGAAATGACTATTCCCTTTTTGATTTGTGGTGTTGTGTGGAAGTTCCATGGTGATTTTTTCCCCTGAAAGTTTGCCTTTATGATCGAAATGTAATGTAACAAGCCTATGGAGTAAAATATCATTATTATCAGCACACGCTCTTTGTTGCGATCGTATCAATCATGTGATGTTTTTTTTTCTGTATTATTTTCAGTCCCCCTGGGAGTAGGATGTCCCCAGCTTACGTGAGCAGGCAGAGCACACAGGAATACAGCGACAGCATGGGAGAGCCGAGCTCACATCACCAACTCCCAAGTTACCACGGGCAGTTTGATATAGAGACCAACCCCCAGATGCCCAATCCAGCCAAGATGAGGTGGATCCGAGCATTTGAACAAGTCTGTGCCCACCTGAGTGAGGTGGGTGTTCAAAGAGATTTTTCTGTTTAGAAAATTTCATTAATAAATCTCGCAGTGTTTCATGTTTAATGACAATGTGATAGTAGATTAGATGATGTCTCTGATCACTCTCTGGTTGACGTTTTCCTCCACTCATAAATAGTTCTGCTACTTAGTTACTAAGATGAGGAGAGCTGTAGGTTAAGTAACAGATGAGGGAGATATAAGAATGTTCTTGTATAAAGTGGCTACTATGCAGATACTAAACAATTTTGTTTAGCACTCGTAAGTGTGATTGAAAAAACAAGGCTGAAAATATTCCTCAGAAAGGGAAAGAAGTAGCCATTGTGTTTGTGGATGGGGAAAAATGAAGTGAATGAAGGGTTTGGGGGTGTTGGGTGAAATAAAAGTAATTACTTATCAACTTTGTAATCCAGGACTGGCATGATGAAAAGATTATGAATTTTGTATGTGCGCCGAGTGGGAAGAGAACATGCCATACAGTTATCAGTCACAGTGACCCCAGTGTGGAGACGATCCCCATCAGTTATTTCTAGTGATTTGGCTTTAGGAATTGGGTGTTTGGGGAGATAAAGGTCTGTAGAGGTCACAGCTGAGAGGTCACAGCTGAGATGTCACACCAGATATTAGGAAGATATGGTTATAGAAACTTTTATATATATTTGTAAACCACCAGGAGGCTATAAGAATCATCGCAGAAACTGGCACCTTGGCGCAGTTGTCTGTCTTTATCTCTGATTTTTTAAGGTGGACATTTGAGGATTTTTTTCTGTTATGGAGATCAGTTACCCCTTTTTTCACCATATTCATGTGCTGAATGTTGAATAGGTTCATTAAGCAGGCTCCTTGTTTCCTGCATACAGTCTACCCATTCCAGTTAAATGTCATCATTGTGCCATATCTGTCAGCTGTCAGAATAGACCAGGTAGGCATTTTCACCTGTTAGACACAGCTCATTAGGTGGTTAATGGAAAGTTAATTATTAGTTTACTATGCTTACATACACACACACACATATGGACATATGCATACATGCATACATAAAAACACCTGTCATTGTCACGATATGCATAATCTGCAACACAGTGAAAATGATTTTTTTCCTTTTTCTTTTTGCCTCTAATGATGTTGTTTTATCTCTTGTATGAAATGACAAAGCTGATGTTTTTTGAAAGCTGTATCATAAGGGACAACATTTTAGTAAGAGTGCCATTTATGACTTACAAGTGACATCACATTAATCAATAGTGTCTTTTATGTTGTAACTCAGGTAGCTTGCTGTCTGTACCAGCAGGGCTGTTGCTAATACCCTGGCTAAGGATAAGGAAGTAAGGCAAAAGAGCTACTTGTAGGCTATCAGATTTCACAGATGAGTTGGCTTATGTCTGCATTACCAGATCAAATGTTTGTCTGGATAGATGTAAACCACCCTTGATAACTCCAGTGCATGCTACCAGACTGAAGTGGGACAGTAATACATGGTGATATAGGCTGGCTGGCTGGAAGATAATGCAAGTTTGATGTAGGCCTTTATTTGCCTGTAAAATGGATACCTTTGATGTGTCAGCATGAACGTTTAAAAACAACTTTATGATTTAAAATGCTTTCCTCCCAGACCTGTGCAGAAAAAAAGTGTCGATAATGCATAATTCAAGGAAGTAATTGTGCATGTCAATTAATATATTGTAGACCAAGTTTTGTAAAGTTAGGTTATCTTTCATGTTACAATTCTTTTGACATTTACATCAGTCAATTGTAATATTTCGTTTAAAAAGAGGGCAATTGGCAAATGTATGTTCACTTTGAAATGTTTAATGTGGCCATGTTATTTCATTAAAATTAGTGAATATTTCCTTATATTCAGTGAAACAAGACGGTACTTGCCCATCTCTGGCAAAAATTAAAGTCATCACCTCGCACACTGTTTCCATTATTTAATATGCAGATTGCTTTTCCTTTCATGGCACAGGATTTCAGTCAATGTTGTCAAGATGGCTGGACATAAGATAGATATGTCTTTGAACTGGAGATTTTACTATGAAAAGCTGTTACTTTTCAGTGCACTCTAGATAACTTTTTATGTTGTCAATTTGCATAATGCTGACATATAAATGGATAATGATTGGTGTTTTTGTCATATATCATTCTTTTGAAGCGGTTTGTTTTCACAATTATTTGGCATTTTTAATGTGTTTTTATTGGGAAGCCTGCAACAAAGAGAACTAAACATGTATGGAAGAGATTCAAACTTAATAACTCTGGATGAAATTTTTGATGAGATAAATAGAAATAAAGTGATCCCAGGGGAATCACACATAGGATGATCCAACAGAATATTTAAGTTCCTGCCTGTGAAGCCACATTTTTTTGTTTTCTTCTTTTCTTCTGAATCTTCTTCCTCTATTGACATTTTGTCAATTTTTATTCATGAACTCAGTTTTTCCATTTTTCTCTGATAATATAGGGATACATCAGCTTTTTATCTTTGATTACTATACATTTGCAAATTGTTTAATGGGTGTTTCTAATTGCTTGAGATAGAGCAAAAAAATACATCATTACAGCAAAAATAGGAGGCAGCAGATTAAATTGAGGGTGGGATTTAATTATCTAATTGCAGGATCATGTTCCTTTTGTCTCACAATTGTTCATCATTGAGGTCATTTTGTTTATAAAAAGATTTGGGTCAGATGATCTGTTTGAGAATTTTTACCAGTATGAGTTATAGATAGATTCGTTTGAATTATCACAAGTGAAGTTACCAGTGATAATAAAAAATGACTAAACATCCTTTAATCAGGTAATTTTTGTGTAGAATTTCCAGGTAAAAATGGATATTTTTCTTTCTCACCAGATGCAGCTTTAAAAAGTATTGAGTAGCTATTGAAATGAAATAGTGCCTTATTTTTCCGTAAAAGATTTGTGAATTTGTTCAATATGAATATGCTCAACACCAGAATTGAAAATTTTTAACAAAAAAAAAAAAAAAAAAAAAAGGAAAAATCTCAGATAGTGCATTGCTTTACATATTTTCTTTAACTATCAAAATTTTCATGTCTTCATCATGGTGGACATATTTTGCCTGAAATTGATTTTGTTCCTTTCCCAAATTAGAAAAAGAGTTTGAACGAGAGCATGAGATGGATACCATGGATTGCTAGCAGTTCAGCTTGTTAAGAGCCTACCTCTTACCTGCATGGCAAATTATTCAATTTTGGGTCAACATATCCATTTGTACCAGACTTTGTGTTCTGTGAATCAATAATTGATTTGTTCATTCGATGGAAAGATAAATAATTTTTGACAAGAAAGCCTTTATTTCAATGTTTTTCATCTAGGTGTCAGAAGAGAAAAAAAGAATTGCCACTGGTTTCAGTTTGCTAGTTTGCTAGAAAAAATATTGTGCAGGGCATAAAATGATTTCATAATTGTCACATAGTGTGAGATGCAGGTACATTACATTGACTGTGAATAGCTGTTGGTACTGGTAATGGTTCTAACTGGTTTCTATCTTCTGCTGGAGGAGAACAACACATATTGGACCTGGAAGTTGACACAGAGCCATCTCATCCGATGTGGCCTTGACCTGATTGGATATTTAACTCGGCTCATCTGGTTTATCAGGCAAAGTTGACTCTACTCTTAGTAACTGATTAATCTGAAAATTTTAGATTGCAATATTGATGAGAAATGGAGAGAGGAAATTGACTTTGGTAAAGCAGAAAAGGCTAGACGGGTTAATGAAACCGATGTATCTTCATTGTGGTGTTTGAAATGAATGGGGTATTATGGTGCCTTTTTGCAGTATAGACTGCCTAACAAAGTTGCATCATTTTTTACATACCAGCATATAGTATGTGTATACAAATATAAATACTGAAGTGCCAAGGGACCATGACAGTCATTTTTTCTGATATATGAAGGTAGTATTAGTCACAGGTTGCAAGCCGTCAAAATGGAAGAAGCGTTTTTATTTCCATTGCGTGCTGCTTTAACGCCAGTGCGTTCCCACGTGCTGCCATTTATACCAAACATTATAACCCAGTCAAAGAGCCATCCAGAGCTGCAAAGGGAAAGTCTGCTTGACACAGACACAGAGGTTGGAGGTTTAGGACTGAGAACAATCAGTGGCAAAGTTGTAATGACTAAAACCAGAAGCTTAAACCATGTGAACACGGCCCACTGCTCATGGCCATCACTTAGTAAAATACAAACTTTAAAGGAGTGGGTAAAGGCAGATAGGAAAACCAATAACCAGGTAATTTATCTTCATAACAAATTATTTTCAATTATTAAATGGTTTTTATTTTCATTACTTTGTATTATTGTAAGAATAAACAGTAGGATAGAAACTTGAAATTTGCAATGGAAGATCTACTCATAACATAATATTCTTGGTCTAAAAATATATATGTTTATGAGGCTAATTCATTTTTATCTAAAAGGAGAAGAAAGACGTAGCAAAAAAGTGTCTCATTTGTCTTTTTGTTTCTTTTTAAAGATGAAGCTTTTGTTCATTGAATCTTGGCTAGTATTTTCATTTCTGACAAGTATGTGTTATAGTGTGACAGTTTAATGAAAGGATTAATAGAGCACTTGCTTGAATATTTTTTCTTTTTGGTTTTGTTTTATATTTACCATTCAAAATTTGCCAGAACTACCTAAATTAAGGTTAATTTGAACTGTGAATTTCATCTTTCACCATAAAGAGGTTTTGCAGTGCAGTATGGATCATTTCCACAAAATGTGTAATCTTTGCATAAATTTGACTGATCCCATTATTTTTGATGCTTTGCACTACCATGACCTCCAATTTATCAACAAAAATTTAAAATGTAAGCCATTTATGCAGGTGTGTGATGTGACTCGTATGTTATCCCTTTTTTGTGGAATGCGTTAAACTTATATAAGTTTGAATACTGTTGTGATAGTGAAGCTTGGAGACAATTGTGTTAGTTTGGATTATTATTGTGCACAACTTAGCATTGTTCCACAAATGG